CTGCTGTATAGTATCGACATACAGAGTTTTCTCAACAGGACTTGTGGAATCTAATTCCTTCGAACTGCTCTGATCACACAATAATTCTTGAAAGGTTACAAAACCCTTTGTTTCTTCAGGAATGGCAAGGACCCCTTTCTCTTCATGAATGACTTGTGGTGATTCATCACAATAGATAGTTGTAATATGTCCATCTAGCGGTCCACATAGAGATGATCCCTTAAGATTCTGTCTCTGCCAATTATTTGAATTGACCTGATTTCTCAAACTTGTTTTATCCTCGATGGCTTCATCCGTATGGACTTCACCAGCAGATTTTCGGATAGAAGTGTCAGAACTAGACTGCTTCATAAAACAGAAGTACATTTTAGTCAACAAAACCCATGCATGTAGATTGGCATACATAAGTAGGGAGAAAGGGGGCAGAAGGAACTACAACTTATTACCTCATTCTCTGTTCCACTGAAAGAGCCAGCTGATGATGATCTCCCTTGCATTTTAGTAGCAGGAGACCTTGGTACTCGGGTCCTCACACTCATTGCGGGAGCAGGATTTAAAAGGCAGAGTGAACTCTTATAGCAGAAACGGGGCAGCAACCCACAAACTGCTGGCAAATTTCCACCTTGACAATGATCATCATCACTTTCTTCATCGTCGTCATCACCATCATTATCATGATAGTGGTGGGAATAATGATTTGCAAAACTAGGACCATATCGCAACAGAGGCTTATCTCCAGTTACTTTTTTCTTTATCTGCCTTGGTTGTTCTTGAACTACAGGTTGCTTTTTGGGGACATATTCAGGCATTTCTGAAGCCATTGCCTTAGCTGCAGGGAGAAACCGACCCATCATGAATTCCTGCATTTGTGGATCAGTCGAAAACCTTCCAGATGTTTTCACGTCAAGATCATCAAATCCACTTAAACCACTCACACTACAATTCACAAAAAATGATTCAGTTCTTGAAAGTGTATCAAGTGCATCTTCATATGCTTCTTCACTATCACCTGAATCAGAAATGTCCTTATCCTCTTTTATCTCTTTGAAGTTATCAAAGGTTTTGCTTTTATCAAGCACAGATGGAACACTCTGTACGTTATGAGTGACATTTCGTAATTGGCTTTTAGTTACATTAGCAGTTGCAGAAACTTCATCAGAATCTTGCTTGTTAGCCTTTGGAGATCTCCCAGGAGGAAGCTTTGGCGCAATTGGAGGCCTCTCGGAATTTTGAGTTTGTGGTTTGATATCTTCCTTTGGTCTTCCGGGTTTTTGTTCCCAGATGAAAGGCACAGCTCCTGGATTACTCACAGGGCCAGATTTCAGTTCCGATCTGTAATGTGGAAGTTGCGGTATTCCGCGAAGGGAATTTTCAGTTTTACGTTTGTCTTCTTTTCTGGAGGCAACTGTTGGTGAAAATCTTCTCACAGATAAAAGTGGTTGGTTGAAATTCAGTTGCTTGTCCTCCATCAGTTCTTTGGAACCATGATTCCATCCTATCTCCATATTCACTGCCACCAATTTGATATGCATTTCAAGATTGATGGTTGAAAAACAGTACACTGGCGCCAAATATGTAAACCTAAAATTTTTTTAAATTCTTTTGGATGGCAGCATGTTTGGCTAAGCTTACAAAGAAAAAGATAAAAGTTTTCGGAAAGTAAAGGACTTACTTTTTGCAAAAGTAAAGTTAATTAAAAGTAACTTCTAAGCTTAGCCCAAACATGCAAATGACATAATTAAAATTTGCACTAACTTTATTTGAACATCTTTAACTTCACTTATAGAATTGTAGATTCTATCAAACAATAACAATAATAATGACAGCAGCAGCAGCAATAGCGCCAAGATGACAGCAATAATAACAACATAAAATCCAAAATTTTTGTTACACTAAATGGCTGGACACTTTCCAAAAGAAGATATCTGTCTAACGTGTTTCACATGGTTCATACGTCCAGCGATTATCGATTCACTCATTTGTTGTTCCAATATTTTACCATATCGATTATGCTATGGACTCCACACTTCGGATTCAATTGTCAACTTCCACTATCCGAAATAGGATTGACTAACAACTCCAAAAGAACTGGACTTAAGAGTTTTTATGTGTCTCCAAGTCCTTTCAGACTCCGTCTAGTTTATGTTATGTTTCCCTATCCTACCCGTCTTCAACAGTGGCGACTGAACTGATTTTCAAAATACAATATTTTTACTTCAGACAATTTACCACAGAAAGAATCCAACATTGCGAATCCCGAGCTCTGTTCTCCAATTGGTTTCTTTGCGATTGAAACTTCGAATCACAATAAAATCTTCAAAATTTTTAGATAGTTATAACATCAAGGGACCTCTAATCTTCAAGTACGAGAACAAAC